AACTTTGACGATCGAACGACGAAACAACACTGGGCTTGGTAACCATTTCATTTCGAATGTTCCCAGAGTTGTCGTTGTGTGTAAACGGTCAGGAATCCGAATATCCTTTCAGTGTAAACGCCTACGAATCCGAATACTCCAAAATTGATGAATCCGGAAACATTTACGAATCCGGAAAACTCTCCTCTAGTGTAAACCTAGTCTAACTGTGCGTGAAATAAACTCGAGTCGGCATCAAGTTTTCGTGCCGCTTTGTGGCACTCTTAATACAATAAAATTCATCTGAGAGGTGGAAACGCAGGTAGATGAGAATTTTCTTCAATTCAACCGCCAGTAGATTTCAAAATTGTCACATAACCCGCACTCCCTATTACCCGCAGTGGCGCGTGTTTAAGGCAAAATCAACAGATTACCCGCGCGCGTAAACGGCCGGAAATTACGTATATATCCTGTAAAACCGAGCTGAGTTAAATAAAAATCATCATCATCATCATCATCAGCTCATTAGACAATTATTCAATATACATATGCTGATAATGGGATGGTAGATGGCCAACAAGTGGTGCTCTCCCTAATCTTAAGCACGTCAGGTAAAATAAATTTTCAAACTGGTAGAGCAATGCTTTCACCTGTTAAATTTTCAAGAATTCCCAAAGATGTCACGTGGTAATAAGAGGAACTGTTGGTTACAGGTTGAAAAGGAGAACACTGAACATGGCAGTGAAAATAATTTTGGTTCAGTCTTGCAAAAGAAAGACAGAATGAATACCTGTAGAGAGGGAATGAATGATCCCCATCCGCTGAACTTCCCACACTGCATATGCTGTTCTTTTTCTGCAGCACATAACAGCCATGTTGTGGCCAGAAGTCAGATCGCGCATCTGATGCTCCAGAGTTATTTCTCTGTACAGAGCCTCTTTGGACTATTGGGGACATTTCTCTCGCCCGCTCATCACAAGAACTCTGACTACAAGTGCTTCTCTTGCGATATCTTTGCCTGTCATGACTGGCTGAGGGATAAGGAGGGGGTGAGTCTGTCTGTCGCAGGTCAAATGCACCACTGTCAACATCACTGATCTGCAATAAGCTTAACAAAGGCTCCAGGGGAATAGTCTTCAAGGCTGTGGAGAATTCTTGATCGTTGTTGAAGTCAAGGATACTTTGTAAAATTGACAAACATGTGCTCTGAAAAGACAAAACCATTTCAGTTACAAGACAAGTGTTTCAGTTTTAAGAGCCACACAAACAAAAAATGGGTACAGAAATAACAATAACATACATAAAGATAAGGGGAGCAAAATACAACTAAATTTAACATAGAATGCCCAAGGTTCTCTAATTTTGATCTAGATCCTTCAAAATTCTAGAAGTACAGTAGGCATCCTGGACAAAAAGTTTTAAAGCCAACAACTATTTAAAGTAAAAAAAAATAAAACACTTGTCAACAAACAACCTCTCTTTGAGATCTTGTTTGGCTATTGTTTCAAAGTAGCCACATTTGTGTTCTTGTTCTTGTGTTAGGTGATAAAGGTGTTCAAAATCAGTGTCTTTCTATGATTTAATTTCAAAGATAATTAAATGCAGTTGCTAACCAAATGAAGATCTTGTCCTATTGAACAACAAATGAAAGCTACAATGAAATCAATAAAAATGACAGTGTAAATATTCCTCTTGAAATCAAAAGCATGTCTAAATCAAAAAGTGGATGCAAGCTTGACATGAGATCCCAGTGATCCGCCAATTTGAGAGCCAATAGAAACAAAGTGCCAGTAATCATTAATAAAGATTCCACACCTGAATAGGTTCAGGACTGTCCACAAGTTTCAAAACTGTTTCAATGAGGCCAGCTTCAACTGATCTCTTGCGGCTGTCTGCCCCTTCCAGCTGTTGATCAGAAGCAAAATTCCCAAATTATGGCACACTAAATTTGACGAGGGAGCACAAAACGTTCTCATAAAAGTACATGCATGCTCTCACAATACTAAACTGGAAATGAAAATAATGAAAGTAACCCATCAGTTTAACTTTATTCTGGTTTTCAATAGGATTTTCTGAAATAAAACAATAATTTTTTGAGGGACAAGGCCTTCATAAAGTATAGGGACCAGATTCCACTAGCTGTACTGAGGACAATCCACTGACTAAATTTTGATGGCCAGTGTCCTTTCTTGTTCAGACACAAAGAACATTGTCCTGTTACTTTAGATCACTCTCTAAATCCCTTAAACCATTTATTTTCGTGTATTTTTAGCAATATGCTTTAACTGCATTAAGTTAAATAAAATCTTAGCTTCTGCTCCCACTATTAAACAAGGCATATCCACACCTAAATAGTAACATTTTACTCACATTGAAAAGATTACCAATCAGCACTGCAATGTGGTTGTTAATCAGAGATGAGCCAGAGTCCATGTGTGATAGGGTAATGAGCTGACCAGATGCTTTAGGAAGACATAAATAAGCCAGTAAACTGGAGTGGCATTCAGGATTGCCTGACAGATGAACCACTGGTTGAAGAGCGTCAATCAAAGGATCAACATCTCTGATGTAGTTGGAGCCAGTGCTTATAAAGGAGCTATCCTCACATTCAGATGTGCTTCTCCGACAGCTCTGTCAGTTGACAGACAAGAAAAAAAACAAAAAAACAAAAAGGCAAATGCATCAGTTTCAATTTTCAGAAAAGTCTACATCAACTGCCACACTTTACCTCTTACATCCTAATATCAGTATGCATATTCTCAATACTGTTCTCCATAAATTTCCTAAGGTGCTGACAAGGAGAATTTGTTTAACAATCAAGAACAGCTTAACTTGATGATTGTTTTCGCTATTCCTGTGACCTACATGCTTGATTCAGGGTGGTAATATAGGGAGGAATAAGATAGTAAACTTTTTTAGTGGTCAAAGGGTAAAGGTCACTTCGGGGTCAAAAGGTAAAGGCCACTTTGGGGTTAAGGGGTAAAGGCCACTTCGGGGTGAAAGGGTAAAGGTCACTTCGGGGGTCAAAGGGTAAAGGTCACTTACATTTAATCCTTTCAGGAGTATTAGTATTTAAGATTGATTTTGCATTGTAATTTGCATAATTTTTATTACTTAAAGCACTGAAATAACTTGTTACATTTCATACATACCACAGACTGATCTGACTCCAAACTAGGCTGCCTAGGATTTGACAGCTGTCTTTCTAATCCTTTTGCTTCACTGGTTTCCTCTATGGGCTGAACTTTTTCAGAAGGCAGATTATTAGCAACAACATCTTTATTCATTTCCACTGAACCTATTTTATCTTCAATAGCCTCTGGGTTTTCCCCTAATTGAATGAGATCTGATACAGGTCTTTGTTTTTCAATGGAACGTTTCTTTGGAATGAAAGGAGAGAGAAGACTGGCTTCAGGTGAAGCATGCAAGGGCTCACTTGATCCAGTCATGTCTGATGATTGCTTTAAGGGACTTGTTTGAAAATCAGAACTTAAAACATCATTTGGAAATTGGTGCATTGTTACTACAGCTGTGTTCTGCTCAAGTGTTTCAACAGGAGGATCGAGCTTCAAAGCAGAATCCATTCTCTGTTCTTCTGCATTTGCAGTGTGTGTATCTATTGTGTTTACAGATGAGATGCATGTCTCCTTTGGCTCGACTGTTGATTCCATAGCTGTTTTGTTGCGTGAAAAATCTTTTTTGAGGTTTACTCCTTCTAACAGAGAGTCAGTTAGTTTAACAACAGAAAGCTGCTGGTCTGCAGAATTTTTCTGATCTGTCTGATCTGCATGTATGTCAGCAGTCTGTGTTTGATCCTGAGTTGTTCTGTGAAAACTATGCATGCGCATAAGGCCCCCTCTTCTAGAATTGGCTGTAAAAGAAGCAAAAATTAATTCTGTGATCAATACAACATGTATATTTACTACAAAGTGAAGAATTTGTAAAGCTGACCATTCAAGCATTAGCCCTGTCAGAACAAGAAAATCACATAAATAAATACCAATAATTTGTTAGCAAGTGTTCTAGCCAGTCTAACTTATAACTGTTATGTATATAATTATCAAGCACTACTCTCAGTAAAGAAATTGCCTGGCATTAGTATCATGGGCTGAAAAAAAGTGCTCTTGTATTCCAGCAATTTATAAGCAATTCTAAAGTGCTAACTCAGGGTTTCAAGGTACACAAACTGGTTTTTTAATACTTGTTAATCTGGTTAACCAAATCATATGCTAGTCAATCAGTTGATTAGCTAATTAGCAATTATTCCATGAGGGCTTTGCATATGAGATGATAGATAGCCAACGAGCCACGTAGTGCCGAGTTGGCTATAATCATCTCATATCCAACAAGCGCGAGTGGAAAAATTGTTATATTAAAAAAAGGCTCCCAAGATATTAGAGAAATCTTCTTGACTTTATTTTGTATGAAGAAACCAGATGTTTCCATGTACAGATATGAGATTATGGTATATTGGCTCATATACCATAATGGCTAAGCCAATGAAAAGTCTTAAATTGCATTATCCAATGATCCAGTTTTTAATAATTTCAATTATAGCCCAGTTCAACCCCTGCTCAGGTATTTTGGAATTCTTTCTAAAATACACAAAGAAGACAGGTTATTACCAAGCAGAGGACTCAGCGTTCGGGCAATATGAATGCTTTCTGATCTCTTGATACAGTGCTTTCTTCTCCCAGTCTCTGGACTTCCATGCCCACCCGATATGGAGCACAAACTTGAAGATCTTCTGTGTTGGAACAGTCCTCTTCGTAAAGCAGATACCCGCTCGGTTGCAGGTGACTGCACACCAGCCTTAGATTTAACATTTGAACTGACTGAACCCTGGTTGATTGATGAAGCTCCTGAATTTGATCGCGATTTGGTAATGTCTGCTGCAGCAAAAGCTTCACAGGCTGACTGTACAAGGAGTCTCTGCATCTCTTTAAGCTCCTGTGGGGGGGAGGGGGGAAATTCAGTTTGAAAAGGAAAAAGAGGGCATCTCAAACTACTATCAAAACCAGGTCACAGACTGTCAGGGCCGTAGCTAGCATGAGGCAAGACAAGGCAATTGCCTCGTCTTGATTTTGGCCTTTTCCCTTTTTTTTTTGCACCAGTATCGCTCGGCAATAAAAAAGTGAACTTCCACACTTGCCCAAGATGGACTTTTCTAAAGAAAAGTGCCACAGAAAATGCTTGAAAGAGCATTTCTGAGCCTCTATATTTCAAAATTTTCTGGGGGAGGCATGCCAGACCCGAAACTTGCCTCGTCTTATTCTTAAGTCTGGCTACGGCCCTGACTGTATTCAATTTCAAGCTCATCATACGACTGTGGAGCAACATAACTCTAACTAATAAATACAAAATTAATTGAATGCACAAGGCAAATGAAAAAATTTATTCATCTGATTTCTAGGAGGTCATTTTTTGGGTGTTTCTCTAAGATTCCTGCCACCAGTGAAAAAAGTGAGCTGAAAGTAATTATCCCCATCTTCACGAGCAACAATTTCATGACAAAACAAGACCATACTCCTGGTAAATTCATTGGCGGTACCTTGTCTAAGAAATCTAGCTTGCCCAGTTCTTACAAGAATTTCTAAAGGCAAAACTTACACAAGTTTCCCAAAGACTAAAGTTGGTAGCTGATGGCTACAAAGTAGAGCTCAGTAAGACTGTAAACACTCTCCCATGGTGGATTCCTCACCATCTCACTCACAAATTTCACTTGAAAATTTCACATCCACATAAGCACAGTCAAGAAATGAAGAGAATCATACCGGTTCTAGGTCAACTGGTCGCACCCCATGGATATTGTTCTCATAGATTCTTGCTCCATGTTCTACCAGAAGGATGGACACTTCCAACTTGCTCCTGTGTTCAGCTGACATATGAAGTGGTGTACAACTACAAGACCAAGGTAAAGACATGAATTACACAGAACTTCTGACCAAAGAATCTTGAGGAGAGTATTCAATAAAAAAATAATTCCATCAATAAATAATAACCATCAATGCTTCACAAATTTTTCCTCTGTTGTTCACTTTTTCCTTAGATTTCAAGAGATTATAAAAATTTCAGTGTATTGTGAAAAGAACAGAAGTATAAAGAAAATCAAAGGGAAATTCAAGAAATGTCTATAAATCATAATTTAAAACTAACCATATATAAACCAATGGGGAAAAAAACTTAAAATACAAAGCAATATGTTTGTCAAATTTAAGAGGTCACAAAAAGAATTACTAAGTAGTTTACTGCAGTTCATACTCCAATTTGCAAATTAAAATCAGATGTTAAAAATCTAGTAAATACATACAAGTTGTTGTCTTTAGCTCTAACATTTGCTCCATAACCAAGAAGTAACTGAGTAACAGCTCTGTTTCCTGCTGATGCTGCAACGTGCAGAGGAGACTTATCATCTGGTCCTTCCCAGTTTATATCTGCACCCCTAGGGAAATAACAATGAGAATACAAATTTAAATTAATAAATATGAAACACTAGTATTTAATTGTGCTTCAGAGAGTACAAATAATGCACGAGACGAGTACAAATATCACGCGATATTTGTACTACAGAAATATCCACGAAATTTGCCCACACTGAAATAACAATTTGGTGTCATGACAGGATGGAAAACATGTGCTCTGTAAGTACCTCCTGTTGTCCCATACAAAGCCTTAGAAAAGTTTTCCAAGGCTTTGTATGGGACAACCGGAGGTACTTACAGAGCACGCGTTTTCCGTCCTGTCATGTTTGGATAATAAATCTCTATCTCTTATTAGACATTTTGTTGTGTAGTATCATCGAGTACTTTTGCTCATTATTTGTATTTTGACTAGCCCTACGGGCTCGTCAAAGTACAACAACCTGTTATTAAAAATACTAAGCGATACTACACAACAAAACGTCTAATAAGATATGTGTATATTCAACAGTTTTGACTCTTTAACCCATGGCAAAGCTTGCTACTGCAAAATCACAAGTGTTTTAGTTCAAATCAACACAAGAGATGGGGGTTGTTTCTCTGGCAGATGCAACAGAAAAATTGGTAACCCATTTTTAAATTTTCGAGACTTGGTTAAGATTTTATTTTTACAACAAACAGAGCATTTTTTTATTTGAGTGTAGGTAGTACTCTGGGATTGCTTCACCATTGTATATTACTAGTCCACAAATTTGCTGTTCTCTCCGACAATAACCTACCAAATGCAATTTAACCAAAACTAACTGCAACTTGGTCATGAGCAATTTCCTGCATTTGACACAGTTTTTTGGGTTTGTTGCAAGTTTCCATTGGTACGTTTTGATATTTTAGGTTGTTGTGATCTAACCAGTCATTCCTTTGGTTGCAGTTTTATGACACTTAATTAATCAAGGGGCATTCTAAAATATCCAATTAAATATAAAGAAACAGTTGCAAAAACTAGAACAAAGAAGTGATTTCTGAGAGAAACATATCAGCTGTAGATCTATGATTGAAGTGTTTGATTTGTAGAGGTCTGAAGGAAATGCCAATCCTCTGTCAACAACCATAATTACTATTGACTACAAGAGAAAACATAATTATATGCTCTCACCTCTTCAACAGAAACTGTGACATCTCTACATCACCTAGCGACACAGCATAGTATAATAAACTTCTCCTAGCCGAGTCATGGGAATCTACAGATATGCCACTGTCAATAAACTTCTCAACAACTGTCTTTTCCCCTTTTTGCACAGCAGCTACTGTATCATGGATTGCATCAAGATCTTCTGGTCCTTCACTGTCAGACAAAGGTAAGGACATGTCTTGAGGTTGATTTCCTCTGTACTTGGCAAAATTTGATGATAGACTATCGGGGGAGTTAACAGTGTCTTTTTGAAAGGTCTCATTGGGAAGGAGAGCAGTTGTCCAAGGCACGACAAAGTTTTCTGTGGCAACTTCCTTCTCAATGCAAACTGAGGTGTCATATTCTCTCAAATTTTTCTCTGGGACCTCCTGCAGCTCCAGCTTCCTACTTTTTCTAATTTTTCTGTCCCCAGAAAAATCACCTGAAAAATTATTCTTTTGTTTTATTGGAGGAGAAAGCGTAGGGGGTGAATTTTCTGTTGCAATGATAGGCTCTGAAAACTGAGGTTGCATTTCTTCTGTGTGGTTAAATCTCATAGATGGTTCATGTTTTGAAGAACTAGCCTTAGTTGCATCATTTTCCACATCTGACAAACCAGTCCTTCTCATTGGCTCTGCTCTTTTCACCCATATGGGAGGTTCGTCCTCAGTGGATGGGTATGTATGTATATCAGCTTGAACAGAGATTTGGCAATTGAGAAGAGGTTGTTTTAACTGCAGAGCAGATGCCTCCTTGCCATCGCTGTCACTACCATCAGAAGGCACAGGTGACAATGCAGAAAATTCAACATGCCGTCCGGAAGTGTGTGTACTGGTGGGATGACGAAGAATAGAGGGACTGGTGGAACTTTTGGTATATTTCTTCCCATGAGGAGATCTCCGACCAGATGAACTTTCAATGCCATGTTTCCACTTTACATGAGGATGTCTATGTTCTAGAGATGAACTGCCAATTGTAGAAGTTGTTGAGACTTCAGAGTTAGTGCGAGTACGCTCAGAACTACTGACAGAGTAAGTTCTTCTAGCCCTACGTGATTCCCTTTCCACTTTTTCTCTGGTTAGTTTGCCAATGGCTTTGAAGGCTAGAGCCACAGTTCTCACAATACTAGCTGCCTGAAATAAGAACAAAAGACCATTGGATGCTTACAATACTTGAAAATTTGTTGAAAGTGAATATAATCCCTTGGATGAGGTCTAGCGGATTATTCAACAATGTCCAATGTGCCCAGAGTAAATTATTGTTCTAGTGGCTGTTCAGGTGATTTTCAGAACACAAATGTAAATCTCATTTCATATTTTTTTTCCCTTCTAAACTATAAATCAGCAGAGAACAGATACACAATCTGATGGAAAAGTTTTTGGAATATTTCTAACTTTATCTGCAAAATTTTGTATCCTACCTCTTAAAAGTGTAACAACAAACTAACAAGCACCTTTTATGCTCTTTGGAAGTTAAATAACTAATATATGGGTATTTTTCTCTTTATCTACAACTCTGACAAAAAAAAAAAGAGAGCTATTTTGAAATATAGCCAGATTGCTAGAAATAACATCTTCCTCGAAGAATCAGAGTGCATGAAACTCCACAACCACCTGAACAACTATACCAATAATTAAATAAGATTTTTCCCCACCCTGTAGCTGTTCATGAACACCGTGAGTAGCAACAGAATCCAGTGTTCAATTCCATGGAATTTTTGGTAACTTATCATAAAAAGACTCTGGCCGCCGAAGGATGAAATCTATTTCAGATCAAGACTGGTACTTCATTGCTTTCTCTAATCAAAGAAGCCAGCCCTTCAGAAAGAAGCAGTCAGCAAAAATGCTGGTAGCCTGTGCTTCTGGAGAACATTGTCTAATAACACAAAATCAAAAGGATTGAACTCTGACATATGATTATAATAGATAAATATCCTAAAGTTTTAAAATACCATGCTTCAGATGATTCCACCAGTTTCAATGATACAAAATAAAGAAAATAGAAAATATTAATGAAGAGTCCTGGATTAATTATTCCCTTGTCTGCCCTCAGCATATTTCTCATTAAGAGAGCAATATTTCTTGTTTTCTTGTCAATCGGGGAAAGCCCCAGAAAAAACACATCTCAACACAGTATTAAGATGACAAACAAGAGTTCTTTTTTCTTCCTAATCAAGTGGAACAAAATGAAAAATTATACCGGCCCATTAAACTTTTTGAATTTTCCTATAAATTAACTAATGCTCTGACTCGATCTGAAACTTAAGATGCCCTATTGTTTTGCACAAGAAACAATGCTGGACAAAAAGCAAGACCTATACAAGAACAATACAAGTGACCCCTTTAACTGGAGATCTGTCAAACTGATGATATTTTGGATGACTAATGAGAAAAATAAACATAAAGTGAAATTTTATCCACACAGGATCACAAAGAGTTATCAACAAATATCAGTTATTGACAAGTGAACAAGTTTGAAATAAGGTTTCATCTTTGCATTTTTTAACCAAAGAACATGAAATTAACTCAATATTTCCAAACATGTTAAAGAAATCTAAATTAAGGCAAAGAGATGCGTCATTAATCCATGATTTTTGGCACCGGGAGAATTCTCACCTCTTAGTTTGTAAATCATAACAACTAATTTTCAGTTATGTAACAGGTCAGAGGCCAGTCAATCACTTCTCTATCAAGTTACATAACACGAGTATGTAATGTATGATTGTCAAACACATCAGCTTGGATTCCGCAGGCCACTCTTACATAATTTTGAAAAGGTTACAAAAGGGTAGCTACCGCTGAAAGGGGCAATTCTTCCGATCAAACTTGTTCTTTTCTTTGGCTGTGTAAAATGAATTAAAATTCATTCATCTAGGTCGAAAAAATGAAAGCTTAATCTTTCTCATGGAACAAACCAGCTATCATCATTTTCTTAGTCCAAATTTTTTCTGCTTTAAATTGGATGAAATCGCTCATGTGCAAAACCAAAACATTCTTACTATTGTACATATTAAAACTAAATCAGAGCACAGAAAGCCATCTTACATACTACCCTGAAGTATGACTTTAAAAAGATCTGTAAGTCATTACGAAACGAAAGTGGCGTTCCGAGCTAAAAGTAGAAGCGGAATAATAACCACGTATATTATTAGCATAAACAGCCCGTAAGCCAAATAACAGTACGTAAACAAGTTGAAATACATTCTTTTAAAATTTTCACTGTCCAAAGTTCCACTCATAATACAAAGCAGTACAAAGAGAAGCATATTTAGGTTTCAGACGGGAAAAGAACACTAAACGCTACAATCTGGCAAGAATTCAATCGCCCGATGACAGAATTTCCAAAACAACAATTTGCGAGAAGCCTTAGGGTAGAATCGAAAGGATTTTAAAATGTAACATACACTTCTGTTGTAATCAATTACCATTAAAAAAATAATAGAAGTTGGCCAATTTTAATCATTTGTCAAATGTTCAGAACAACAAAATACTGCGCTGTGACAACTGAATTAACATTTCGCTCTATCTCCCCGTTGTTTCACGAAAATGGAAAATTTTTGAAAATTAAATGAATGCAGGTTTGCATTAATTCGTAGCGTGACAAACAAGAACTTCTCATGGCGTACATGTTGATTTCAAAGAGGCGGGTTTTCGCCTTTCCCTCTACAAAACATAAATAGAGCCGACACCTTCGTCAAAAGATACATCAAAACCCTGAACGTTCTAGATTTCTGTGATTTTATTTTAAAAGAAGACATTCCTTTGGTTCTCAGACGCGCGTTTCTTTTACCCCTGCTTTCCGTAAGGAGGAAAGGCGATTGATGAGGGCATTCCACTAAATAAAACTCACACAAACACAGCTGTTATTCACTGATTCAAGTCCCTTTCTTTCCTGACAAAAACGTAAAAGAATATAAACATAGTACACCTAAATACTTTCGCCGGAGAGAAATCAAAATACAGCACTCTACTAACTGATGTAAACAACTTCAATATATTGACAATCTAGTGTTCGGCTTACCTCCAGTTGTGATCCAGCTTGAAAAACGTGACACATATGGGTTTTCTTTCGCGTGATATTCAAGCCGAAAGTACTATCGAATCCCCGAAGCTGCTCTTGAACACACAACGCGATAGCATATAGCGGCGCTGTAAGGATCAGAGAGTTAGAATCTACGCTAGATACTAAAAGAATCCCGTCCCGTATTGTGAAATTAACTCTGATACTTCGTATCTGTTGTTTTTTAATCCTCTTCAGGGTTTCCATCATTCGCGTTACAGATTTCGCCTCAGATATCTGTGCAGAGCCGACATAGTCTACAATAAAATGTAGCTCTCCTGTACTGTAGTCCTCCACCGCTCGACAAGCACTTTCTGTGTGGGGTAAAAGCGCAGTTGCCTGAGAAGTGAGTAAGGCTTCTTCGACATTCTCATTCTGACAAGATTCGGCGACCGCGGCCTCGTTGTCTGTTCGATGCCATCTCTGGCTTAAACGTCTCTTCAGAGAATGCATTTTCCATTTATTTCTTTACTACAGTGCACCCCATACGCGGAGCCGAGGTTTAAAACGTATCTTTCCATTACTTTAGGCTAAATCAGCTGAAATAAACAACCACCATTACACGTAACATTACCCAAGTACAGATTTAGATGTCAAGCCCAGTTGTCCCATACATGTAAATTACATCTTCGCTCAGCTGTGCTAAGCTAAATACATGTGCCCTCACATTCTCCGTGCATTCCCCATCATCAAGAACAAAAAAGCAGTTCTGAGCAAAATTGTGAAAAACAAGGAACTTTCCACTTCAACTATTCTTCAGTCACTACCATGCTGTTTGTCCAAGTTGTTTGTTTCAAGACCGTCGCACGTTTGTAATTGGTTGATTTTGATCACATGTGAGAGTCGGCTGCGTTCGAACAAAAAATGCGCGAAAAACCTCGACGATTACGTGTGAATTTGGGAAACTCGACCAACATCAACGTGAGAAGTTTTTAGAAAGCAATAACAAAATGTATAAAAATACTCGAGTCCCCATGGAATGACGTTAATGATTATGAAATTAGCACTTTGCCTCTTTTCTCCCACCGCAGACAATAACATTTTTTAAATTTTAACAAAACAACCTCAGCTGAAACGTTTTACTTTTTGACCTTTCAGTTTTTTGTGATTTTAAGCTTGAAAAATTTACACAATATCTCTCTGCCTAACGGATTGAGCGTGTAAAACTTACTAGGGGCAAAGTCTGTCTCGTAAATTTATCATTTTGTTTTGGTTTCAAGTCTGGTTTTCCTGCTCGAAACGTAAACAATAGGACTCAAAGATCCATCCGATGACACATGGGAACTTACATAACAATACTCATTCCTTTCAAAACAAAACACTTCGCCCTCTAGCCAGGGAAGTCTACTGTGCCAAGTACTGTGGGAAAGGAACTTTAAATAAATCTTAAATAATGAGCGGATTATTTCTTGTCGTCAACGGGTCAGTTTCTAATTAACGTCAATGAGATCTTTGACCACATCGCTGAAGTGCGTCAAGTCCGTTGCCTGTAAACGTTAACCGCATATTTTGTTTTTAGCTGAACATTCCAGTCCTTTTTAAAACCTCTTCACAAGTTTACACTTAAGCTTCCGGTTGGATACGCGCCGGTGAAGGTAACCTATGGGAGAGAAGCAGAGAAGAATCTTGCGGTAGCAAAGGGCTTTTCAGGGTTCAGTCATTTTGGCGTTGCCGAAGTCGGATCACAAAAAAGAAACAGGAAATGCTACTCTCTTTGTTGTCCCTTCTTTCTTTTATTTGAAGCTGCATGTTTTTTAACGGTAAGGGTCAATCACGAACAGAATTGAAGGTTAACAATCACGAAGACTTTTCCGACTGAACGAAAATGGTCGTTTTGATTCGGAAGTCATTTGCGCACGGGTGACCTACTCAACAGTCCGTGACATGACTTGTACATTTCAAAGCTTAGTAATATGTTTGTTTTGTTTTGTTATTTAGTTATTGAGTGACCTAGAGCAGCAGCGAGTCCTTGTTGTCTTTGACCTTCATAATCAAGCGATAATCCCAGTTCTTGAATATTTTTGCAGTTTCAGTCGGACCGGCTTAATTCGAAAAGTTTTGTCCACCATACAAACAAATTTGAGCCGTTCCGCTAGGTCACGCGACGAATTTAGATACTTGAAAATTTACACGCAATGTGACCTAAAACAATAGAAGTGATAAAGTTGTTCGTCTTTGCGTGTCATAAATTAACAAGAAATCATTATGTTACGATTATTTAGATCCCTAAATCGACCAGCTGTAATGATATAATGGAAATGTGTCAGTGAAAGAAATTGACAAACATAGACTGTCTGGTGATTAATTAATCGGCGCCATTTTGATATCAGTAACGATCTCTCAAAGACACATGGCCCATACATGCTGTGCGAGTCTTCACCACGATGAATCAATTCAGGACGAAAACAAGATGGAAAGTCACGCTAGCAGAACCCTACTTTGTTAACCATTCAGCTGCTCGAGAATTCAGCTAGTCAACTTTGTCTAATTCTAAGAATTGGAATAATTCCATTTTTGTGCATAAATTTTGTGAGGAAAAATATTGATCGATATCTAAGTTTGAGCGTTATACCCAGAAATATGGTGATTAGATATGAATTCGCAACAATAACAACTAAAAAAACTGAAATTGACGATACCGTGATTTGACGAACGCGTTCACAAAAAACATGGATAAATTATAAATACGTGACAATGAATTAATCGATCAGAGAATGAAATAACGGATATAAAAAAAAAGTAAAATATATGAAAAGAGTGGTGCGTGTAGTACAAACTGGTTGCCGGAAAGGCTTTTACGGAATCGCCAATTTTTTCTTTTTCTTTTCCTTTTTTTTCAACCCAGCCATATGTTTTTACAGTGAACCCGCAACTAGGGGTGGGGCGGGCATCCGCTCACGGACCCGCCCACATTCATGATTTCATGTTCTTGTTTTTCGCCGCCATGTTTTTTCATTTTAAAGTTCATTTATTTGTTTAAGCAGGTTGATTAATTGGCAGCTGTAATAGCTGATATGGACCTGCTGTCCTAACCCACCCATCCCACCCCAGGGGAGGACATCCATCACACAGTAATCTCGTGTGTG